CAAACGCACACACACGCCACACACACACACACACACACACACACACACATGCCACACACACACACACACACACACACACACACGCCACACACACAAACACACACACACACACACAAACGCACACACACACACACACGCACACACACGCACACACGCCACACACACACACACACACACACACGCACACACACACACACACACACACACGCACGCAGACACATATCATTTGACCATTTGACGCCCGTGCAGCAGAAGCCATAGCAAATTGTGCTGGGATTGCACCATTTAACAGCTTCCAAGGCTGAAGAATTGACCGTCACTACTCAGCCTGGCCTACACCACACAGCTATTAAGTGGCTTTTTCTGGCCAGTTAATCCCTACTTGTGGTCTTTATTCATTTTTTTTCCCGCACATACGTCACACCACATACTCTGGTATGCACTGACTGTTGGTAACCACCCAGGAGAATGAAAGAAAAGTCAGGAGGAGTCTGAGAAAGAGAAGAAAGACGTGTGTGACCATTATCGTCGGGAATTAAACCCGCAACCTATCGATTGGAAATCGCTGCACATACCACTGCACCATATGGGACACACAATATACACGCACACACACACACACACACGCACACACTTCACCCGACCCCCAACAGACACGCTCGCTCATGTACACACACACACACACACCACATCACACATCACCTCAGACCTGCCCATCGCGGAAGCGATGATAGCGAACAGCTATGTTATCTATAGCAACTTGTGCTGCGACTACACCATTCAACAGCTCACAAGGCTGATGAATTGACCGCCACGGATTTAGCCTAGTATCCACAAACACAGCTGATTGAAGCGGCTTTTCCTGGCCACTCACTTGCTCGCGCGCGCACGCACGCACACACACACACGCGCGCGTGAGCGCGCGCATGCACACACGCACACACACAGTCCGGTATCACAAAATATCATAGACAGGCTCAGCACATTAGATCATCACGAGATTCGACCTGGGGTTGGTATTACATTTGTACATTATAATATTGCAACTTGGTCGTGATTAGTCAGCCAGATACGAGTTCACGAACAGCAAAAATATTCAAGAAAAAACACACACTCGGGGGAAAGAGATTGTTATATTAAAGCAGAGCTACTAAGAAAAAATACAATGTATTCTCCACAGTGGTTGTACTACGAGAGTGGGGTATAGACATGGAAATTATTTCAATCAATAGAAAAATGAAAATTCAAGTTTGACGACAGTAGTGTCTTCTCTATGTACATTAGATAGGTAGAAAAAAAGAACTGGTCTAGGCTTTGCTGCTGCTGCTGGTCTGTGCTCTAGAGACGAATCAGGAAACTAATCATCTACACACTCACATAATGTACACATACTACAAACACAGTCATCACCATCGCCAAAGTGTAGACGACAGGGTACAGGTAGGGTCACGGACAAGCTGCTCAAGCCGGGACCGCAAAATGGCATTCTCATGATGCCGTGAAAGCCATAGTGTATGCAACACAGCATGAGACTGAACAGCTCTGACAAACCTTTTCAAACAATCATCATCATACTGGAAACCACACCCCCATGCATACAGCTCACACAGGTTAGGGCATGACTCAACAACTTCACTAAAACATGACAGAGGGACAACACGTACAGGTACACCTACACCAGTGAGTGGGTAGGACACAAAGGCTACACTCAGCTTAGAACAAGTAGACAATGCTTTACACACTGATACAACACCATCACTATCTACAGGATTACCACACACACTGACATCCTCTAGACTGCCTGACAAAGACTGAATGATGGACGACAGTATACTGCCATCGTCACATGCATTCCAGCGAAGATCTAGCTTGCGTACACCCTTGCATTGCGACAGACCAGCAGCAATGCTTCGCAGACCAGCATTTCCACAGCCAGAGCTACAGAAATCAATGGTACTGCTATCAAAGCAATAATGTGTGCTGAGAAAGTGCCCAATAGATACACAATCAAAAAGAGATAGGCTAACACGGGAAAAGCCAATGCCTTTGTGAAACACTTGTGAAAAGAATGAACAATGACCATCACAGGACGCACCTTGATACTGGCAGTGTTCATGATGAGCCACCAGAAGATGAACCAGGTAGCGCCGTTTCTCGGTCAACTTCGCTGGACGAACTGCAGGCATAGCAGTAGCAGTAGCGTCCTCGGTGGATGACGGGTCCGGTGTCTTGGTGCTCGGACGCATCATACGCTCGCATTGCAATGCCGCGACGGGATTGACCTTGCGCACAGCAGCGAGGAATACTTCCGTGTTGGGATCCACTGCCTCCTTCTTCCACACGTCGATGAGAGTTGACAGAAATAGTTCATCCGTCAACTCTCTCCCCCGTGGCAAAGCGCTCTCGACACGTTGGCAGCCGTTGCCCTCACCGCACGTCTCGTCTAGCAGTATGTAGGCCAGTTCTTTCATTTTCTCATACGTTAGCGTTGCACGAAGCGTGGACTGCATCCTTTCAAGACCCGGACGTGCAGACCTGCGATGGGAGTAGCTGACAATGTCAGCCACGAGACGAGAGTCGGCAGTGTCCAATGTCGACGATGTACGCGTCTCACAGATCAGCCGCCAGAGATGCTCTATGACGACAAACGAGGGTTTGCGCGGTAACAGTGTAATGACGAAGCGCCAGAACATTGTCATGTGACCACTGTAATGACCGACTCTCCTCACCAGCCATGCCGCGTCATGCTTGTCCTTCAGCACTTCACGTGACAGATACCATGCCGACATGAACTCCTGTAGGGACAGGTGAGCGAAGCGGTACTGTCGGTTTTCAGTCGAGCTGCCGTCTTTGTAAGCAATTAGGAGTCCAAGCTGAAGAGCGGCATCACTTAGACCGGCGCTTTTCACTTCCCACTCGCTGAACACGGCCTTTTGCTCCGACAACATTGCAAGTGCGAAGCGGGAGACCTCGTACAGCAACTCCATCTCCCGTGCATCCGTCCTGGCAAACGACTTGTGCAATTTGCCTGCATTCCGCTCCAAGACACGTAGAAGTAGCGACTCGTACAATGCTGTGCTCGATTTTGCCAAGCCACGTCCGCTGTGGTACAGCTCACATGCCAGAGCAGCAAATAATGGAGTTCCCATCAATGCTAGCATGTCCGGCTGTGCATGCAGCTTCTCCAGCATCTCCTCCGCTTGTTTTCCGCCCACCACTTTTCTCACGTACGTCTTCACGTTCTCTTGTGAGAATCCGATAACCTCCAGTTGTTGATGGTACTTTCCACATTGGCTTAACTTGTACGCATCGGCGCATGGTCGAGATGTGACCACTACATGCATATCGACATTGCTCCTTCTCAACAGCATGTCTTGCATGAACTCACTGCAGTGCTCAAGGCTACATTCATCTATGCCGTCTAGTACAACACAGAGACGTGATGGATGACGGCAAAAATAACTTTCGATCTCCACCACCTCATCTTTCTTCATGTTCAAACTAGAGAACCGTCTCTCCAGCAACTCACACAGGCTAGTTGCAGATCGCACTTTAGCACGTCGTAATTCAACAGCCAAGACAAGATCAATCTTCTCCTTCAACAGCGAATCTATAGCCCACAGGTATTCCAGCATTAGAAGGAAGATTGTAGATTTGCCACTGCCCGCACTGCCAAACGCTAGCACGTTATTCTTTTTCGCTCCAATGGACACGTTGCTAGCGGCACGAGACAGAAGTCCACATTCGGAATCAACTTCTCCGCTGGCACTTGCTTGGTCCTTTGCACTATCGCTACCTGTGTCAGAGAAGATCTCGCTAAGCTCAATCCCACGTGTCTTTTCGGACTTTCCATCCTGAGCTGCTCTGATAGCATTTAGCTGGCGTGCTCTCTCAGTTTCGGAGGAAAAGAACGACTCGCTCTTGAAAAGTGTTTCTACTTCATCCTTCGTCAGCAGAGTAAGATTGACAAAGAGCTCGCTCAAAGCTATTTCCCTATCTGTTCCTAACCCCCCGCTGATCTGCACACCACGATCCTTGACTGCATCACGCAATCGTGTCTGCGCCTTCAGGAGAGACGCTGGTAATTTGTGATCCTCCGCCATCGTCAGTCCTAAAGCTCAAGGGATTCTGAGTATCGATCGTGTCTTCATCATCTACACTCTACTAATTACGGCGGGATTCACAGAAGCTTTTTTGCGATGCGACACGCGATGCGACAGCCGCGAAACCGGGAAATCCCCAAATCGCAACCATCGCGGACCCCACGCAACTGCCGCAACAGGGCCATCGCAGGCCATCGCAGAAGTTGAGCTTGGCTCAACTTTTGCAATGCGATGCGATGCGACAAGCGATTTGGCGTAAGATTTTGACCTTTTCTACAGCAAAGTTGTACAAAGGTTCAAGAGTTGCCTATAAATTTGTACAAGTTGTATGAAACCGCGCAAATATCATGGTGACGTAGCCAAATCAGCAAGATGTTGTCGCATCACTGACTTCTTCCGTGAATGGTATTTCGCGAGTTCGCATCGCACGCGTCCGTCGCAGATCGCGTCGCATCGCGTGTCGCATCGCAAAAAAGCTTCTGTGAATCCCGCTTTATGCAGAAATCACAGTCACAATCACTGATCAACTCTTTTTTAAAGTTTTTTTGCACCGAAGCAGAGCGCTTATGCCATCTGTCACTTTTTTACTTGATCAAGTGCCAGAAAGTGAAATCGCGCCCCCCCCCCCCCCCGGCCTGTCGAAGAGGGTTTTTCGGCGTGGCTGGGTTGGCACTTTGCACTGTAGTGTACTACTACGCGAATGACTGTTGGGACATTCTTCCAAAACATGACGTCACAGAATTCG